TTGTTCCCGTTCCCCCCTCGGGGTCCGAGCAGAGCCCCCCGGGAGTGCCTGTCGAGGCGCCGGGAAAGAGGCCGAGCTGTCCTCGGGGCAGCAGCAGCAGGAAGAGAAAGTTCTTATTACTTTTCTCAATGATTAGCCTTTCTTCTGTTCAGAAAGAAAGAAAAAAATAAAAAGAAAAAATAAATTTACAATTTTTTTTTTCAGTCATTGATTTAAAATTCAAAACGTGTCACAGCCTTTTCTCTCCCCCCCTCCTTTTTTTTTTCCCTTTTTTTCTTTTATTTGCCTCTTGTCGTCTTCCCCCTCTTCCCAAAGTGGAAATGAAACAAAGAAGAGAGGTTAGGGTATTGGGGAAGGAAGCAAAAGAAACAGAAGAAAACCCACAAGAAGTCTGCGAGCAGAGCAGAGCCCGCGCCTGGCCTGGCCTTGGGTGTTTAACAACACTCAGGGATCCCTTCTCCCGTCTCCTGCTCAATCTGATTTCTTTTTGAAAGCGGTGGTTTAACAACACTCAGGGATTTCTTTTTGAAAGCGGTGGGAACGCGCTCGGTGCCTCCGTCCCAGGCACGGGGCCGGGGCAGCTGCGGGAATGAGCACCGGGAGCCTTTTCCCTGTTCCCCACCCGAGGAAGAGGCCTTTCCAACGGAGTCACTCCTTCCTTCTGGGGGAGCCGCTTTCCCTCCTCAGGGCAGAGCACAGACCACGGGAATTGATGGGAGTTTCATTGTCGGTTTCATTGAGACCAGGGCTGAACTTCAGGGGCTGGAATGGAGCCTCTGGAAGGGGCAGCCTCCAAGATCAGGGCCAGATGAGAGAGCTCTGCTGGATGCCGATGTCCCCGTTAGCGTTCCGGAGCCCCAGGGCACAGCTCCAGCCCCACATCAGGTGCTGCCCTGTCAGAGAGCTCCTCCAGCAGCCCGTATCTCCGCCTGGGCATCCCAGCACTTCTCTCTCCCCCTGCTCCTGTGGGGAGTATACATTTTCCGCAGGTACCAGGTGGGAAGCCACCTCAGCATGGCTTGGGGCAATACCTCAGCCAGACCGCACATAAAACCTTCCTTTTCTCTCTTTCTCTTTCAGGCTATGTAATTTTTCTGTTATGTCTGAGATTTTGCTCCAGGACAAAATACAGCTATGTGGGGCTTAATTGATTTTTTTTTTTTTTTGCAGTGCTTTCAACTTGAGATTTCTTTTATTTTAAGGACTTCTTGTCTTTTAAGGCAAAAGAGGTAGAAAATGACATTAATCAGAGTGCTCTCAAGCCAAGAGCTTGCTGAGAGGACTTCGCTGTCATCTGGGCTTTCTCAAATTCTGCTTTGACGTTCTCACTTAATGAGGTCCTGGAGCACACGCTTCACTTCCAGTGGGTGCTCTAAGTCAGACGTGCAGTTACAAGTATGGCTGAATCAGGAATAATAACAGTAACAACAATAACAATAATAATAACAATAATATCATCATCAGCTCTGGAGCCTTGACACAGCCTTGGTCAGGGCTGGGCTGTGCCCAACACCACAGGAGACACAGAGTGGAGAGAAAGTCCTGCAGCCT